CGCGTTCTAGGTCACCTATTCTCACCCGCATTATCTCTAATTCGCGTTCTAAGCACGTGAGTTGTGGTGTTTGCTGTGAGTGTAGGGAGGATTTTGCTGCCCGGCTCACCTGGTTCTTTGCTTTCTTTTTCTGCGCCTTCTTGCCCTTGTGCTGTTGTTGCTTTGCTTAGGCCTGCTTGTGGTCACCATTCCTGGAGTCGGAGCAGTCTCGAGAGCCGGACCTGGATCGGGATGTAGATCGAGACCTGGATCGGGAACTGTAACGGGCCCCGCGTGGCGGTGCAGAGTCCTCGCGGTCCGTGCTGAACCAGCGTCTCTTGAGTATGCCAGCGGTTTGTGGTGTGCTGTGTTGGTGCGACAGCAGCGACCGGCCCTTTTGAGGGACGCGTTTGAGTTTTTTGGTGCACTCCGATGCCGCCGTGGGATGGCGTCCACCGCACAGGGCACATTCCGGATCGCAAGTGTGGTCCTCCGGTGGGTCTCTTAGGCGACAGTTGCTGCAAGCCTTTGTCATTGGTGTGGGACAAACATCCGTCCTATGTCCCTGGCTCTTGCAGAGTTTACAGTACTGCCGTGTGGGTTGATAAGGCACGTACGGCATTTCAACACCGTATTAATACACGAAGCGCGGCAGTATTGGTACATCGAACGGGATCACTGCAGTTTGTGACTGTTCGAGCATGCGGGCTTGAACAATTGTCACTCCTTGAGTGTGCATTCGGAGATGGCTCAGGAGTTCACCTTCTGGCGTTTCGCGTTCTGATCCGTGTACCACTCCTTTCAAGTATCCAGCAGGAGGGGATATGTAGGTGTTTACGGGAGCACATATTTTGTGCCTGCCCAGCATACGCACGTGAACGACAAACACTGATTTCTTCTACTGAACTATATCGCAGTAGGTCATTAACTGATGAGACCATGTTGGGCCCTTGGCCAGACACCAACAGTGCAACTGCGGTCACAAGAGCAGTTGTAACCTTTTTGGAAACAACTGGACTATGTGCGCGGCTATGAAATGTGTCTCAGCTAGAAGGAACACTACATACTCACCGCTCTATCTCACCATCGTCATTCATTAATCTTTCTTTTCCCCTTTCCCTTCCCCCAGTGTAGAGTAGCAGGCTAGAGCAAGCTATTGCTCAGGCCGACCTCTCTGCCTTTCTGTAAATAAACTTACCTGACTTACCTGTTTACGGGATAGTTGGTGCCATTGAGCTCCAGTGTCTTTATCTTCAAAATCTTTTCTGCTACATCTTCGTACGGAGTGCTTGCAATAATTATGTTTGATCCGTTGTGAAGGCGAAGCAGAAATTTGTGGCTGTTACAGGCCTCCGGGTCACCGCTCACATGTTCTATTGCTCGCGCAACCTGGTATGCTTTCAGTTCCTTCACAACTAACCCTGGTCTGGGCCGCATGGTAACCTTCATATTGTTTTTGGGCAGCGGTGCCGCGCGCGTTCGTCATCGGACCCTTTCGGATGCTCTTCCGCGTCGCTCTTCTGCAAGCGTTCTAGCGCCGGAGCTGTTGCTCTCAGTTTCGCCTCGAGCAACGCTGTCATCACTCGCTGCGCGTTCTTGTTTCCTGATGCGTTTTCGCTGTCGCAATGACATTGCTACCTGCCACTGACCATTCTTGGCTTCGTCGTCGCGTTCCTCCGCACAGTCTATTTCCCCGTTATCGGCGTCACTAGTAGATTCCCCTTGTAGCACCTCGTCAGGTGAAAGGCAATCTTCGTTGGCGTCCACTGCAGAGCTCACTTGGGTTTCGATGTCTTGGTCATCCGCGTCCATAAGTGCCTGGGCTAGTTCCGGGTCGCTGTCCGTTGGGGTTCGGGCAGGTGCAGCGTAGCGCTTGGGCCGAGAGCTGGCTGCCAGGACTCCGCGTTCCGCTATGCCGCGAGGCTTAGCGTGGCGGGTGGGCACGCTCTGCCGAAGGTCTTCACTTCTCAGAGGAAACCGGGATGGCTTGTCCAAAAAGCTGTTGTCAGCTAGTACCTGACGTCTTCCTGCACAATTCCAGTAGTTTCACTGGTAGTCATATGATTTTAACCGCTGCTAGGCACAATGATTGATGGAGCCGATGTGAACGCGTGTGCACTCCTCGGCGCCGCCTGGCGGTCCTCCTTCTTCCAGAGATGTTTTAAATGTTGTACCGACAACGTTGTTTCCCGAGGCGCCAATGGCGTTCCGTGACCCTTTCTCCGAATGCAAGTACGTGTTCACCCGCGACGAGACACCTTTGGCAGGCCGGCCCTGTTTAGACGCCAGTTCAGACGCTACACTAACCTGCCCGCTCAAATGCATTCTCACTCCCCGCCACGGTGGTCTAGTGGCTAAGGTACTCGGCTGCTGACCCGCAGGTCGCGGCATCAAATCCCGGCTGTGGCGGCTGCATTTCCGATGGAGGCGGAAATGTTGTAGGCCCGTGTGCTCAGATTTGGTTGCACGTTAAAGAACCCCAGGAGGTCAAAATTTCCGGGGCCCTCCACTACGGCGTCTCTCATAATCAAATGGTGGCTTCAGGACGTTAAACCCCACAAATCAATGAAACGCGTTCTCACATCCCCCGAGGCCTTGGCCAGTGCGGCTGCACTATCTATTGATTCGTCCGTCGGTTCTGGTGGAGCGTCCACAGTAGACGTTGATGCATGGTAGTCTAGTGCAGACACACTCCCATCACCACTGCATGCCTTAGGCAGCGTCGTCTGCCTTGGTTACGTTCATAACATGCTGTGCTACATCCGTTGTGTCCACTGATCTTCTCACTGAGGCGTAGGAACGAACGCACTGTGCGTTGACATGTCCGAAACGCCGGCAATGCGAACACCGAGGTATCTTGCACTCACGACGCACATGCCCCGTTCTATTGCAGCGAAGGCACTGCATAGGCCGACCGGTGGCGACCACTAGGGCTAATTCACCCGCAATCTGGATCTCGTGTGGCAGATCATCCACCATAATACCAGGGTTGAGCTCAATTAGCACAGTGCGTATTCTCGAACTTCTTCTCGCTAACACCTTCAACACGCAAACGCTCCCGAATCACTTCCGTCACACGACCAAACGCTGCCAGCGCCGCACGCACATCGTTGATAGGTACGCCATAAAACAGTCCGTGAAGTCGCAGCCTCACTTGCTGCTCCTGCTGCTCCTGGGGGTTGATGACAAAGCAGCGTCTTCATTTGACCTGGAGTTCCTTTAGTTGAAGTAATTTCTCCATGCGATATCTCCATGCAAAAACACTGTGTTCAAAACAACACATCCTGTTGGCAGATTCGGCAAGATGATCTCAAATTCCTCGTAACTTCCATCTGTAAACCTGTTTCTGCGGCCACCAAGAACCGCTTTCACAGCTCCGCGGGAGCCCATGATTCTAGCGTCCGACGCGTGTGAGTGCTGGCGAAAGAATGAGCCACCGAGGGATATACTTCCTTCAACATTCAAACGGGAAGCTATTCATATCTACCACTTACCGCTTTTACCGGCATCACAGGGGAAGGGGGGGGGGGTAGACTATTGTGTTTTAGAGGCGAAGCTTCTTAAAGCGGCACCCGTTCGTCCCTCATTGTAGTCGTAGTGCGTAACCACTCTTACGTTTTGATTTCGAAGGTGGAGCCGGTGGGGGATTTCTCCTGTGCGTTGTTGAACAATAAAAAATTCGCAGCGTGAGCGTTAACCAAAAGCCGAATTCTCCTGTCTTTCATTCCCAAATAGCAGCCATTGGCATGTACATTCAGCGCCATCTGACAAGAAAGGGTCGCTAGGTTATACTCGCTGGGCGTAACCTCCTAGGTTTTAGAAAAGTTTAGTGAGCGTTGGGCCGCAGTGCCATGAATACAGTGAACTAGTGTATACCATGAACTCGAGGTGGTTAAAGGTGGGAAGTAGACACGAAGCGCAGGCCGTAAGAAAGTGTGCGTGTGCCTCCTCTCGTTCAGTCCTTGGAATGTCCGCTGGATGGCAGTGCTTTTATATGAGGAATATATGATGAAAAGATGCGAGATGGTGGTACTTGGAGTGTTGAATAGGTGGACGAATGGACACACAGACAGATGCATGGATGGACGCATGAGCGGACACAGGGGCGGATGCATGGACGAACGCAGGGACGGACGCACGAACAGACGCATGCACGAACGGGCGGATGGACGGTCACACAGACGGACGCATGGACGGAAGCAAGGACGAATAGACGGATGAATGCTTCGCCCCACTCTCCATCATTCACTCCGTGGATATGCTGCCATTTTTTTAACTTGGGGCGCTGATTATGGTCGCAAAGAAGTGAGAACCTAGCCTTACTTCCTATAACAATTTTAATATGCTGCTATCATATTAATTCCTTCACCTTTGCGGTGAAACTGTGACTTTCTTTTCAAACTTCCATCTTTTGTGTTGGTACCTAGGATTCAATCCCAACTCGAAGCTAATGAAGCAGCGTCTCCATGTGTCATAAAAAATCTGCTGGCATTGGGAATTTTCCTGGTGCCCCATTTTACCACTGTAAAACCGTCTATCCGCGAGGAAGTGGTAAGAATATCTCACTTTTGCGGAGACGCAGATAAGTCGGAATAAATGGCAATTAAGTGCCTGCCAGGCACGCAGACAAAGTTTTGATGTAGTACGTGATTGCGCAATTACTATTTTTAGGGCGAAAATACAGAGTATTTCACGCACTACCTTTCCGATTTAAACAAAACGCAGAACCAGTGTATATTGCATGCAGCTTCAAAATATAATTAAAGGGCAAACGGCAAGCAGTGCCGTATGCATTGCATTGAAGCCTGCCACTAGAGCCCAAGACTTGCGTCTCATGTGAGACCGGACGTTGCTGATCAACATAAAGTAGTTTAGAGACGGCTTTCTGCCCCCCCCCCCCCAAAGTAGTACCGATTGCTCTAAATTGTTAAACACTTTTTCTAAACCCATCGTTATATGAACTAACTATTGGAAGAGCGTTCTTGCTATATTGTCATCATCAGAGAGTGCAAATGGCTTGCCTTTGATTTGATGTGCAAGAAGAACAGGAAAGCTGTGTTGTCTGCGTTCACAGGTATAAATCCAGAATAAGCATCCAGATCTTTGCAGGGCTCTGGCAAACATACTTTGCTGCGCTTTCGATAGTTCCTAAAGTTCTCAATGTTGATATCATCGTTTGTGGCGTAGAGAATATTCTCCTGCAACACATCTCTGCAAAAAAGATAAATCTCTCGCTTCTTACAAGGTAAGACAATTTGTTTTTGAATAAAGAAAACACCACCTTCTTACAATAGGCTCACAAAACACAGATCAATTAGGTCAAGTGGTAAGACTTAAAAGAAAAATCTGTACTCAAGCACTCCGTACAAGTGGTTAACGAGCAAAGCTCAAACGTGCGGCCACAAGGGGTTGCAGACGTCGAAGCTGAAGTCAAAGTGCCGCTCTAGAAACTCCCATCGAAAGCGTTTCCACCATTGACACGTCGACGTTGCTCTGCCAGCAACGCCGCTTCTTCGGCTCACCGCGGTCACTTGATTCCGGATCGAATGGCTGCTGGATCCGCAGTGCGCAGCTGCCGCAACCCGGGCCTGTCTTTTGAATTCTTCCACAGATCAGCCGTCGGCGTTGTTCTTGGAAAGTTGTGTGCTCTTCGGGAATTCGTTGTATCCCTTTTATAAAAAGGTGTATAGGGAGCACTCGTTATCAGGGTTGCCATGTTTGCCCAATTTGTGCCGCTTTGGCTACTGTTTTTAGGCCGGATGTGGTGGAAGTATTGCCTTGGTTATTGGGCTGCTTTCCGGCTATTTTCTTGTTGTTTGAATTTAGGGAAACTCATCAATGTCTGGTGACGCTGGAGCCACTGGGGCTCGAGTACATGGTGCTATAACAAAAAAGTGCAAGCGTGCTTCTAACTCTGAATATTGAATTTGATGATTATATGCGGTGCATGTTAGAGCAAGGAACATTTGATGGTCAAAGAGCACTCGTATCTGAGACAAAATATGCGGGCAATGGGTATGGTGAATGCGTATATAGGGGCCTAAAATTCCTCACGCTAAAGGCGAGCAAAACATATAATGAATGAAATTATGAAAGTGACCTAGGATATGTGGAGCGAAAATAAGCGACAAACGATTTCATCATAAAGGTACGGAGAGTTAGAGCCAGAATGTCTCTTGAACGCCCTTGCGTCCAACGGCTACGAGACAAGTGCTTTGTGATGTACCGCAGCAGCGAACTCTCTTGGGAGAGTGCTGCAGATTACCAGGATATATCACGTGAAAACTATAAATATGTTTAAAATTGCGAACAATGACTAACGTTTGCAGAGTATATCCCTACCAATAAACATAGATGGATGAAGTGGCATTTGCTCTCGGTATAGGGTTATGGGCAGTGCTTTTATGTAAAGATGTTTCTCTCTGCACTGGATTAATATGTGAAGCAGAGAGAGTGATTCACCACACTTCTCGCACATAGATAGATCACGACCGTACAGACGGTATAAGTGTGCACTGCGTGTGTGTCCTGTTCTAAACATTGTGTTAATTCTGTGCGGCGTGACCAGAATACTGCCGGCTGATTGACAAGTTGTGGCTTGATAAAGCCGCCACTTGTCAATTGGCCGGCAGTTTGTTTTTTGTGTGTGGCTATGATATATGCTCTGCAAATCAGCTCTGAGCTGTCGTTTGAGGAACGGTTTGAGGTGGAGCGCAGGAACGGCTATGTAGTAAGACGGTAAGTTGGGCCAGTTGGTTAGGTTTCATCGTGAACTTACTTACAGCGCAACACCCGAAAAAATACAGGACAGGGAAGGAGCAAAAAAAAAACGCCGTCTTTTCTTTCACTTTTGCTTCTTTCCTGTCCTGTATTTTGTCTGGTGTTGCGCTGTAAGTTCCTTATGAAACGGCTATGAATGTATTGATAGTGCTTTCGTGGACGAATCCAGGTAGCTAGTCCTCCACCACGTTACCCTGAATATCGCGGTGTTAAGGCACCCAGAATACTACGACACGCTGTTTCAGTTTGTCGGCTTCGTATAGCAGGGAATAAAGCGAGACAAAAATTGATTGATTGATTGTTATGTTGGGTTTAACGTCCCAAAACCACCATATAATTATGAGAGACGTCGTAGTGGAGGGCTTCGGAAATTCCGACCACCTGGGGTTCTTTAACGTGCACCCAAATCTGAGCACACGAGCCTACAACATTTCCGCCTCCACCGGAAATGCAGCTGCCGCAGCCGGGATAGCGAGACAAAAAAGCACGCCGTTTTTTGTGTTTTTACACGAGCGTATTTCTGCAGTGGTCCACCACGGCACTGCTTACGTACTTGCGCCACTGATACGGAGATATAAAATATAAGCGAACAGATTGGAAAAAGTAAACTGGAAGTAAACCTACAACCCCTCGCTCTGCAACACGTAGTGCGAAAGTAAGAGGTCACATAACGTATACGCTCCTCAGCTCACTAACGGAAAGGTATTTATGTGCACCACACACCCACACACACACACACACACACATATATATATATATATATATATATATATATATATATATATATATATATATATATATATATATATATATATATATATTGACGCAAGGTAGGCTGGTAACTATAGTGGCCAATCTCTGAGAGGATAACGAAGTAGTTCTGTGGGCGCGTGCTCTGGTGTTCGTGCTTTTGGCCTTTGGTCACGAAAGTAAACGCCCTGCTTTTGTGCCTGCGTCCCTGTGCCTTTGTGACATTTTCTGGTGGAGCTGCTGGGTACGGTAGATGATACGGCCCCAAAGAGCACCCCTTTCACAAGCCCATCAAGTAGCTCAGCCGAGCTTACCCCTGTGCTCGTACGTTCCAGCCGTTGTCTCCGAGCCACTCGAGCCACACCATGGTTTGCTGCCTGAACGTCAGAGGAATATGAACGAAACACCACCTAACGTCACCGCGCCAGCCCCAGTGCACCTGGTTGTCAACCAGCCCAAGACGCCGAAGATTGGTTGGACCTGTTCGAGAGAGTGGCGAGCTTGAATAGATGGGGCGAAAGAGGGAAACTCCGTCGCATATACTTCGCCCTGGAAGACTTCGCAAAGACATGGTTTGATAATCATGAAACCTCTTTGTCTACCTGGGAGGTATTTCGACGACAAGCTGTGGCTACATTCGCGAACATAGAGCGGAAAGAAAAGTGGAGGCTGCTCTTCAATCGAGGAACCAGCTCACAAACGAGAGTGCTGCTATGTACATTGAGGACATGGTCCGTCTGTTCAAGTGTGCGGATTACAACATGGCTGAGGATAAGAAGGTGCGCAATCTAATGCGCGGAGTGAAGCAAGAGCTGTTCGCCGTTCTCGTCCGGAACCCTCCAAGCACAGTTGCTGAGTTTTACTCGGAAGCGACAGCCATCGAAAAAACACTGGAACAGCGGGCTCGGCAGTACAACCAGAATCTTAACTGCGCATCTGCACTGGTGTTCTCCGGAGGCGTGCGAAACGACGTTTAAGCCCTGCGAGAGCTCATTGGATCAGTTATTATAGAAGAACTGAGCATACTGCAAATGCCCCAGACTCCAACTGCACTATCGGTTACGAATGTTGTTCGTGACGAACTGAGGCAGGTGATACGAGAGCCAGAGCGTGAGCTGCAGCCGGTTCGACCTATCCGAACATACTCTGAAGTTCTCAGACAACCCACGGTACACAGCAATGCAGCAGTTGCGATGGCGGCGACTCCTCTCCCACCTGCAGCACACAGCGCACCTCGTCCACGGGAACCAACAGCTACCTCTCTGCCCCCAGGAGCACGTAGCACACATCGCTATGTGGAGCATAGGTTCAGGAAAAGTGATGTCTGGCGTAATCACGAGCTCAGGCCTCTGTGTTTTCATTGTGACGAAGCGGGTCATCTGTACAGATTCTGCCCTTACCGACAGGCTGGATTAAGAGGTTTCCTGTCGTATCCACCGTGCCCCCGAAACGGCGAACGACCAGCGGAGATTGAGGAGTACTTGTCCACGCGCCAGAACTCGCCACCTATAGGCCAACATCGGTCACGGTCACCATCGCCTATGCGCTACCGGTCATCCAGCCCACGTGCACTTTCAAGGCACCCTGGTCATCACTCTTCAAGTCCACTCCCGCAAAAATTGAAGCGAGCGACCTGTGGAGGTGAGGCCGCTGCTAACGTTAGTTACGAAGATCCTCCAATATGGTTGAGGGTGATGACGGTGTATTTCCGGTAGATGGGTGCAGCAACGAAAGCGTTACTTCAGATTTGCAGTTGAGAATGGAAGGATGGGAGCTGAATGCCTTAGTCGACACCGGGGCTGATTATTCAGCAATAAGTTACAAGATGGTGAAAAAGCTAAACAAAGTTGTGACACAGTGGAGTGGATCGCAGATACGCATGGAAGGTGGTCACATTATTACGCCCCCTGGCAGATGCACTGCAAGACTTCAATACGGGGCTTTATTCACGCGGCCGATTTCATTGTGCTACCAGAATGTTCAAAGGAAATCATTAAAGAATGGGTTTTTTGCGAACTAATGGCGCCATAATAACCTGCGTAGGTCCAGCGTGTCGTCTTCGACTCAACGAGCTATACCTGTGGAAGAATGAGGAATGACGCCTAACTGCTCTACGCGTTGTTCATGGTGACGTAACTGTGCCGCCACGCTGCAGTATAATGGTGCTCGTAGAAAATGACGCATTGTACAACCGCGAAGGCATAGTGGATACAAATGTAGGGCTGTTTTTGAACAAAGGTGTCTACGTAGCTAGGGGTCCTGTTCACTTGACGAATGGCCGTGCAGATGTCCTTCTCAGAAATTTCTCGAATGAACTTCAACACATCGCTCAAGGCACGGCAATCGCCTACTTACACGACTTCTGTATGGCGACTGAACTATGCAGCTTAACGACATCAACCACTCAACCAGTGGCCTGCCACATCGACACATCTGTGACCATCAACCAGAGCCTTCCGGGCAGTCAAACGAAACAGATTTACGCCTTGGTAAAAGAATTCTCTGATTTCTTTTCAAGTGCCTCGAACGTCCAGCCCACTTCAATCACGAAACACAGAATTATAACGCAAGATGACACGAGGCCTATATGCCATCATCCATATCGGGTGTCACAGAAAGAACGGGAAATTATCAAGAAGCAAGTGGAGGAGATGCTTTCGGATGATGTCATCCAGCTTAGAATAGTCCATGGGCGTCCCTCGTAGTGCTCGTTAAGAAGAAAGACAACACACTTAGATTCTGTGTCGACTACAGAAAACTGAACAGTGTAACTAAACGAGATGTCTACCCCTTGCCACGTATCGACGATACACTAGATTGGTTGCGATCCGCAAAGTTTTTCCCGTCCTTAGATCTGAAAAGCGGATATTGGCAAATAGACATCGATGAGCAAGACCGTGAAAAAACGGCATTCGTAACACCAGATGGCCTCTACGAATTCAAAGCGCTTCCATTCGGCCTCTGTTCCGCACCAGCGACGTTCCAGTGAATTATGGACACTGTCCTCGCGAGATTGAAATGACAGTCATGCTTAGTGTATTTGGATGACGTGGTGGTATTTTCTGCAACGTTTGACAAACGTCTAGAGCGACTACGCACAGTATTGGAAGCCATCCGGTCAGCAAAATTGACAATGAAACTCCGAAAATGCCACTTCGGCTTCAAAGAGCTGCGATTCCTTGGACATGTCATTAGTTCAGAGGGTGTTCGTCCTGATCCCGATAAGACAGCCGCTGTTCAGAGGTTCCTTACGCCCAGAGACAAAAAGTCACTGCGTCGATTTTTGGGTTTATGTGCCTACTATACGCGATTTGTGGAAAACTTCGCAAACATTGCGGAACCTCTTACAAAACTTACAAAAGATGACGTGCCCTTCACATGGGAAAGCCAACAACAGAAAGTTTTTGACGAATGAAGAAAACGACTACAGCGTTCACCAATACTCGTCCATTTTGATGAGACAGCCGACACCAAAGTCCATACCGATGCCAGCAATGTCGGCCTCGGCGCCATTCTGGTCCAGTTGGAAAATGGTCAAGAGAAAGTGTTAGTCTATGCCAGCCGCAAACTATTAAAAGCTGAGGCAAAGTACTCTGCAACTGAAAAAGAGTGCCTCGCAGTCATCTGGGCAATAAACAACTTTCGACCCTACCTTTATCGTAGACCGTTCAGAGCTGTCAGTGACCACCATGCTCTATGCTGGCTGGCAAATCTCAAGGACCCGTCAGGTCGACTAGCAAGATGGAGCCTTGGGCTGCAGGAGTATGACATTACTGTCGTGTACAACTCTGGAAGGAAACACAGCGATGCCGACTGCCTGTCACACTCTCCCATCGATCCAAGTGTACCTGAAGAGGAAGACTTCCCGTTTCTAGGCGTTGTCGACACATCCGAAATCGCTCAACAACAACGAGATGACCCTGATTTGCTGGCGCTTATACAAAACCTGCAGGGTCTCGACGTTCAAGTCCCTCGCATATTCTCCAGAGGCTCTCCACGTTCTGCCCTCGGGGAAGTGTCCTTTACCGGAGGAACTTCGAAACTAATGGTGAAACGTTTTTACTAGTCGTGCCCATAGCCATCCGAGAGGAAATTCTGCACGCATGCCACGACGAGCCAACATCTGGGCACATGGTGTGAGCAGAACATTCGCCAGGATTCGCCTGAAGTACTATTGGCCTAAGTTGCTCACATCAGTGCAGTGCAACGTGAAAACTTGTCGTCAATGTAAACGGCGCGAAACTCTACCCGTAAAACCAGCTGGCCTTCTCCAGCGAATAGACTCTCCGGATGCCCCATTCGAACAAGTCGGCGTGGACTTCCTAGGACCTTTCCCGACATCGTGTGCAGTCAAGAAATGGATAGTCGTAGCCACAGACTATCTGACCCGTTACGCTGACACTGACTCTCTGTACAGTGCGACAGCTGCCGAAGTCGGCAATTCTTTGTGAACAAGGAACTCGGCGAGAGAACGAGTGTTGCGGTGGCTACCGGCCTATGAATGGGCCGGTAGCCCCCGCAACACTCGTTCTATCTTGCTGCCCGACTGCCTCGGCCCGCCTGGCTTCTCGAGCGTTAGAACAATCCATTTGTGATGGTTCGTGGGCCCCGGAACTCAGACGCGCAGAGCCGTGACAGTGAACAATAAAAATTACTTTATCGATTCAGATGAAGTACAACTGAAAGACATAAACAACAGATATATCACACATGAACTGAACATTTCTAACGATGATACTGCTTCGGCTTTGATGATATAGCAAGGGCGTCAACTCACAGAAGGCATGGCACCGCACGCTCGTGACCCAATGCTTAGGCCGACGACCACTCACTCATGCCGTTGTGACGAACACAGGCGCCGGGCAGCATGATCACCGGCTTCACTTGGTCTTGCATGAAGACACGTTGAAGGTGATCGTGATGGCCACTTCTGCTACGGCCATGGCAGCGGTGTGGGACCGTTGCGTCGTCGTTGCGAGCCCACTGATGCCCGCAAAGCCTGACTGGCCCAGACCACAGGGTTCGCAGCCCCAAACCACCCGATCGAACGTGGCGATGCCGTCCGCCCTACTTCGTCCTCTTCATTCACACAGCTCTTTTGCATTCGAAGACGACAAAACTGAAGTCTCATATTTTGTACACTTCCGTTAAATTTTCAGTTTTTTTATTTTTATTTGATACTGTTGGCAAGCATCAGAGCAATACAGCGGGCTGGAGCCCTGTTTGAAGTATACACAGGCGCCTAGGAAGCCCGCCTGACCTGCAATATGTCCCTTAACATGTTTACGAGAGGGAGCTAATGTGCTTGTCTTCCTGCTACTCTACAAATCATGGTCCAGACTTTGCCCTGATGTGTATATGAATTGA